TCGAAAGGACGGCATTCGTGTATAAGTTCTTATAAATAGAACCGAGAAAGGCGAGCATCGGAAAAGTTTTCCTGTCGCGCGATGCCACAACGGGACGACAGCGTGTCAGCCTGCGTAAGACGAACAAAGAAAGATTTCGCCGCAAGAGGGACGGAAAGACGGGGCTAAGCGAGAGAGAGAGGGAACGAATAAAACCGCGAAGGGTGGGGGGAAAGGAGGATAGAAAGGGTGAGGAAGCGAGAAGGAAGGAGTGAATCGAGGTATCGATGGTGGGGGAAAGAGGCAGCACGGCGGACGCGCGCGGTATCCGCGCTGTTAGCGCGGATCGCGGCAACGAGAACGCGGGGAGCGGGGAGGAGAACGTAAGGTTGGTGGGGCGGCGGCGGAGAGCGGCTCGAGGGAAGCGCGAGCGCAAGCGCAATGAGGCATGGAGTTGCTCTCGACGCACGCCACATTGAAAGCTTACGACATGCCGCGAAGCCGCTCAGTTGTGCGCCAGCTCTCGTGCGGGTGGTATCGTATATTCTCGTTTCTCTCAGCATTCCCTGTGGTGTATCGTACCGCGAGCACGAAAAAGCCCGCGTAGGCGTGGTGTTGGTACAACGTTGGTTGGCGGAAAGGAAAGAAAAATAAGAAGACACGTAACCGCGCGCGGTGGTTTTGATAAGACGCGAAATCAAGAATCTGTTGTGTCCTCGTTAACAGAGCGGTGCGCGTCTTCGTCCTCGAAAATTGGAATAGTCGAGGGTCACGTTTTGATACTTGGACCAGTGTCAGATCTCGGCCCGTCCGCACGGGAAAATCCCCGTCTTGGCCGTTCGAGGTCGTTCTCGCGGTAAAGTTTCAGAGACGATACTACACGTTTTGGCTCTGTTGTTTCCCTCGGACAACGTGTCGCCGCCGTCGTCGTCGTCGTCGTCGTCGTCGCACGTCGTCGTCGTCGTCGTCGTCGCCGTCGTCGTCGCCGTCGTGTCTGCTCGTAGTCCCGTGGGCTATGAGTGATTAATCGAAAGAAAAAGAAGACAATCAGTTTTTTCGACGGATATCTCTGAGAGGGTAACCGAAAAAAGGACAGGTGACAATAAGAAATTGCGGCGAGAAACTTGTACATCGTATCTGTGATGCGCGAGTGAGCAATGGAGTCACCAGTCATGTACGATTCAGCGGCCCATCAGGCCCAGGCCCACGGCGCGGCCGATCTGAAGAAGTCTCAGGTACTCAACAACAACAACAACAACCATCCGAGCAACAACAACAACAACAACCATCCGAGCAACAACAGCAACGCGGCGAACAACAACAACAACTCGGCGTTGCAGGTGAATCATAACCACAGTCAGCAGCAGAGCAGCTCAGTGGTGAGCAAGGTCTCAGCGAGCAAGGCTAGCCTTCACCAGCAGTACGCGGAACACTGTGCCGCGGCCGGCGAGCTGACAGACCTGAATACACCAGAGATATCGTTGGATCTGCAACACCTGATAGACGACAGCCACTTCAACGACGGCCTGTTAGACATGCTGGGCGCGAACAACGGCGCCGTGAAACATGTTAGAACGCCCGGTTATCCGCGCACCACTCTCGCCTACATGCCGCAACCGGTGCACAGCGGAGCGAGTTACCATCAGGGGAGCAACAGCTGTAGCGACAGCAACAGCTCGAGCTCCGAATCACCGAGTATCAAAGAGGAACCGCTCGATCCAGCGGATTACCGTCGCCACTGCCCGCAATATCCACCCGGTGGGTACAGTCCGGTAACAAACGGACCGTTCGCGAACGGCGCACCAACGTTCACCACTCTGACACCGTCGACCGTGCCCGGTGGCCATCCTGGAGCACCTGTTCACCAACCACCGCCTAGAGGAGGACCGATGAAACCGGTGATGGCTCATCAGCATCACGCGAACACGGCCGCGGCAGCGGCGAGGAAACAGACGAAGGCGATCGACAAAGCGAGCGACGAGTACAGAAGACGACGGGAGAGGAACAATATAGCGGTGAGAAAGAGCCGCGAAAAGGCGAAGGTACGATCGAGAGAAACGGAGGAGAAGGTGAAACTTCTGGTGAAGGACAACGACCTGTTGAAGAAGAGGATCGAATTGTTAACGGAGGAATTGAACGTGCTCAGGTCTTTGTTCAGTAGCGTCGGCGTGGTACCGGAACAGCTACACCGCGAGATCTCGAGGCACCTCGATCAGTTTCAGCAACACGCGGTTGGACCCATGTAGCGTATAAAGTCACGTTCGTGGAGCGGCGCGGTGGCATCGCGCCGCCACTATTACGCCTTTCTCTCGTCCACCGGCGTCGACCTTCGTCCCTTGCCTTTCAGGCCGATACGATTGTGAAAGAGAGTAATGGTCGTTTCGAGGCGACTACTTCCGCTTTTCGGGCCCGTCTAATGGTCCCGCTGGCCGCGCTGTTGCGCGCGCATCGTCCGAGTAAAAGTACGAAATACCGTGGTGGTTGGTGGTATTGAAAACGTGCGGTCGAGATGATGGTAACTGCGTCTCTTTTGTCTCGTACCGCGGCGAATGGAGAACGCAAGAGGTGCACGTGCCTAGTTGGAGGAGAGAAGTCGCGATGGGAATGGAGAACACGCGAAGGGAAGAGAAGCCGGTCGACGAACGGAACGTGTTGGAAGAAGAAAAAAGTGCCTCTGCTCATGGCGAACTGTATTTTCTCGTTTTTCTTTCTTTTGTACACCGAGTGCATCGGACACTTTCCACGTTCGTCCTTGTAACGCGACACGACAACAGAATATTCGCGAAAGAAAAAGAAAGAAACGGAAACGTACGATTGAAACGGGGGAAAAGAAAACAGATAAGAGCGGATGGATAGCCGCCATGTTGCGATCTTCTGGTTCGAACCTTTTGGAACGTACGCGAGAGAGAGAGAGAGAGATGAGATGAAAAATTCGAGATGTCGACTGTTTCTCTTTTGCTTCTCCTTTCGTACCTTCTATTTTCTTTTTTTTTTTTTTGTTTCTTTTCTCTGAAAGTACGTAAGACTGGGTGGTTCTGCCGCGTGTTCCCGGCGGATTCGCCACCTCGATCGATCGCGTAATTCGCAACACGCGTCACGACTCTGGACAGATCACGCATCGATATGTACAAGCGCATCGACCACACTCTCGCATCAGCGTAACGTACACACGCAGATACACTTACAACTAACACGTGTGCTTTGATACACGAGGCGCGCATACATAAATTCGTTCGCATAAATCTTCCATTCTCTTCGCATTATACATTTTTGATGCACCTTCCACTGAGATCGTTCATAGTACACGTACAAAGGGAAACAAACACGCACACGTACACGACTAAACACAGAGGAGAGAGAGAGAGAGAGAGAGAGAGAGAGAGAGAGATGTGTAACGTGTATGTGTACACAGAGAAGTATAATGACGATGCGTTAGAAGCGATGTGTACACGTGCACCGCGTTGTAGATTGTCGTTCTCGTTACCAAGTACCTAAAACTGGCACACCGTAATGTTTTTTTTTTGCGAACAGTATATCGATGCCGAATGGAAAAGAAAAGGGAAGAAAGGAGACGAAAAATGCTATCTCCTCGGATTCGTTGTATCTTTTCCTTCTTTTCTCTCTTTTCCTTCATCCACCGGGAAAAATAGAAGCAAAAAGAAAAAACACGCGCGCGTCAAAAGGAAGAAGAAACTACTGTTTTATCATACACACACAGACACAGGCACACGCCCTTGTATTATAGCTCCATATTTTAATTTTATTATATTCGAGAGAGATGTATGTACATAAAAAAAAAAAGCTAATATATTTTGTTAGAGAAACGAAAACGTAAAAACGGACTCGTGTTTCGTGAGAGAGAAAGGGTGGGAGAGAAAGGGAAGCGTGAACGGGTGACGAGGAAGCATCCGGGGGAGGAGAATTGTCGAAGAATGCGTGTGTGCGAGCATGTGTCCAAAAACAAATTAATCGTTGATAATTATTACACTGTGTCGAATTAGAGACGAAAAACTAACGTTTTTAAAGGAGATTCGAGCGACGAGAAGTGTCGAGGAGAGCGGATAGAGAGAGATATACACATATGTATATT